TACATACATACATACATACATACATACATACATACATACATACATACATACATACATATATATATATATATATATATGATTTCTCACACCTCTAATGTCTTAAAGAAGATAATGGTTCAAAAACTAAATACAAAATTGGAGACAATACTAATGTTATTCAGTGGATTGAGACACAAATACATTGGTAATAACTCAAGTCACAGGATAAGAATACCACATGGTAATCAATTGATAATGGAAAGCGATTATCTGAAAATACACTTTGTAAATTGAATCTGATCCATATCAAAGATCTTTTCTACATCCAACAAAATATGAGCAAGTGATACTAATTTATCTGCAGCTATATCCATAATAATAACAACTACCTGGTACATATTGTAAAAATTTATCGGTTTTTTTGGACTTCTGGGAGCAGAAAGGCAGAATGAACATGGCTCAGAGAAAAAAAATATTTCATTATTCTAATAAGAAGACACCCATCAATATAATGGAACAATATTTGACTACAAAAGAAATTGAGAACAATGTACTCAGAAAGTACAAAGTTGTTTAAACTATAATAGAACATATAGAAGAACACCAGATTTTATTGTATAAAGCCAACTATTTTAAATGTGGATTTGGAGTTTAAAAAACTGGTGGATTACAAAAGGGATATGGAAAAAAATGCTGTGAATCATAAAATGGACTTAAAAATAGCAGTTCATAAATGATACAGAAAAAGATGCCAAAATGAAATTACAAATGAAAACAGATTTCTTGATAATTAAAGGTGACATATAAATAATAAATCATAAAGAGCAATATAGAAAAGCTTCCTATTTTGGATTTACAAAAGGAATTTATGAAACCAACAAAATTGTTTCTGAGAGAAGACAAAGAGAAAATGATAAAAAAAATCAACTCGTGAGACATTATTTAATTTTAAAAAGACCAAACTTTTCAAAAGCAGACAGAAGGTCTGCAAAGTGAACTTATTCAATTAGGGTTAAAATATACATACTGAGGTTTCTTGAGGCTCGGAAGTCTCTTTTTGACCAGGACAGAATGATGCAGATCTGTTTGTAAGTGGGCAGAGATTTCTTTTGCTTTATTTCTTAGATAAAGTGAATAGTTGAATTACAAAACTGATTTTTTTTTAGTAAGGCTAATGCAGAGGTGTCAAACTTGATTTCATTGAGGGCCGCTTCAGGGTTGTGTTTGACCTTGGGTGGCCAGGGTGGGTGTGGCCAGGTAGACATAACTCCTGTTGGGGGCGCCTATGGTGGCCCAAGCACTCTGCCAGCGAAAAAAAAGGCTCCCGAGCTCTGTTTTCAACTGCCACAGCCTGCAACCCTCTGCCAGTGAATATGGAGCTCGTGTGTTTCATTCCAAGCTCCATTTTCACTGGCAGAGGGTTGCAGGAGGCCATGGCAGCCAAAAATGGAGTTCAGGAGCTCATTTTAGCTGGCAGAAGGACCGAGCCAGTGCTTCACTGTTTCTAGGGTGGCCCCATGGGCCAGACCTAAGTACCCTATGAACTGGATCTGGCTCCTGGGCCTTGAGTTTGACACCCCTGGGCTAATGCAAATATGTATTTGTGTCCCTGTGTGTGTGTGTGTGTGTGTGTGTTACTATTTCTAGTAGCTCTTAATAGGCTTTTTCAAATTAGAATTAAATGATGAGTTTTTACAATTTGATTATTGATAAGGGATAAGGTGTAGGAAGAAAAGATGATTTTCTGAAATTGAAATGTTAGAGAAGGTGTTAAGTTGTTGAAACTGTTTATACTTGCCTGGAGGATGCAGGAAATTATCTTTTATATATCTTTTTTTCCCTGTCTCTTTGGACTTTTCTTTTTCTTATATTACCCTTAGTTTCCATTAGTCTTTTATCTTTGCATTTGTACATTTTAATAAAGTTGTTATAAAAAATATTGTATTTCTTCTGAATCCAGTTAACCTAGGTGCTTTGAAGGTGGTATTATTTTCTGTTGCTCATGTTGCAGTTAATATTTTAGCATAGATCTTGCTATGCTATAGCATATAGATACTTTAGCATATAGGTATTGGTCTATAGTGTCCATATCTTCTAGATTCTTTCTGCCAGATTTTAATATTAGTGCTATACAGTCTTCATAAAACAATGAAGGAAATATTGAGATATTGAATGATTGCTTCCACATTGACATCTAACAATATGAATGCCCCAGTAGATGTATAAAAATTTAACAGGAAATCCAACAGGCTTTCTCTGATTTCATCATTTGCAGCGTGATCTTTGATAAAGTGATTGTAATGTATTGTATCATTATGATGCAGATTGGAATGTGAGTTGATGAAGAACTCCATGGAATACCACACAGTTATGTGTCCTCAAAAGGAACACAGATGTCAAATAGAAACATATGCATGACATCATCATCACATAAATGCTACAATATGTAGCTGACATATAAATAATGCAAGTATGTCATGTGGCATTTGTGTGATTTTGTCATCTGAGTATCATCACTATTTGCTGCATTATCTGCAATGGTATTACTGCAGCTGTAGCAAATAACAGCTCAGTAATTCCTTCTGTTTCCAGATTTGTACAGGGATGCAAAATATGATGTCTTTGCCTGAATCCCATTACCAAAGCCTCCAGACCAGGGGTGGGTTCTTGCCAGTTTTAACCTCTTCTATAGAAGAGGTTCCACAAATCTACAGTGTCATTTAGAACCAGTTCCAGCTCCCTCCCCCCGCCCGGCCGCACATCATCAAGATGAAGAGCGAGAGGAGGAATTCTGGGAGTTGAAGTCCACAAGTCTTAAAGCTGTCAATTTTGAACAACCCTGGGTTTTTTTCTAAAGGGTTAGGGGTGCAAGGGTATTGTAACTTGACAGCTTTAAGACTTGCGTGCTTCAAATGCCAGAGTTTCTGAGGCAACATTTTGGTTGCTACGCAAGAGCGTTGTTAAGTGAGTTTCACCACATTTTATAAGTTGGCCATGCCCATCCAGTCACATGGTCGGCAAGCCACTCCCACCCAGTCACATGGCCAGCAAGCCACTCCTACAAAGCAGGCCACACCTACAGAAGAGGTTCTAAAAAATTTTGAAACCCACCACTGCTCCAGACCTTATGTCTCATCCTTCTGTGAATAAAGGTAGAATCACAGCAAATTACTATTCCATCCTGTCCTCCTGTAAAAGCAAAGCTTGGCTTAGTGCAATACATATTCAGTATATGGACATGCATGTATTCAAACTAAGACAAGAAAAATGCTTCAAGATACTGCCTGGATGCTTTCATACTACGTGTCAGCAGCACTTTAATAGAACTGTGCCTTATTCTTACATAGTATCTCTGAAGATTCTTCTGGAATAATTCAATTTAAATAGTTATGATCTCCAAAGCTCCAAACTTACAATAAATGGTTTAAAATAATAAATTGCATTTTAAAAATATTTTTAGAAGGTGTTGGTCGATTTTTATGGATTTCTCAGTTAATTTTGGTAATCATAGAATATTGTTAGAGTGTATTAATGATTGAGAATTGGATTCACAGTCTTACACTGTCTCAAGGTCACTATTAGGGAATAAAGCCTGAGATCCTTAGGGTGTTTATATTTTTAATTCCATAGGTTATTTTATTCTTTTTCTCCTTTGTGTTCAATAATTACATGATATTCCTGGAAAAAGTCATTCAGAGATTTGGAATTCAATTATATTAGTGTGCTCATAACATGTAACTTTATTTCATCTTTCCATCTGTATCAGGACCCATAATTAAGGTATTTGATAATTAAATGGAAGTAGTAATGGACAAAAGCAGGGGCGTCAAACTCACATCCTTATGTCGTCATTTGACATCCCTGGATTAAAGCAAAGCTAATAAACAAACTGAATACAGATAAGATGGTGATGCTGTGTTTAGGTAGCTCTCAGTATGAGAATTAGGAAAACAGACTTTTGTAACTGAAATTGCACTCCCTTCAAACCAATAGATGTGTGTTTGAGGCTTGTTCTTGATTCAAAGTTGTAAAGGGAATAGTTGACATTGTAGCATGGAAGGCCATAATAGACTAGGACAACATAGCTTCGTGATTCATGACTTAAATCATCTGCTGATATTACTGCTTTCTATGTTACTATTCTTGCATTTTTCAGCTTTTTTTCTAGTTTTACAAACTTGTGTATGTATGTATGTATGTATGTATGTATATTTATGTGTATGGTATGTTTATTAATTTTTTAAATGGAAATGCTTTATTTTTACAGATAAAAAGTTATGGTGGGCAGACCATAATTTAGGCCAACTGGGCACCTGCAATAAAAAAGATGGAAGGAATCCTACAGTTTTGCGAAACAAAACTTCAGGAGTTGTACATATGAAAGTGTATGACAAAGCAGGACAGAAAGGTAAACCATGCATTAAGATTTTGAATAATAAAATACATAAATCCAGAAATCCTTAAAAAATCTCTTTATGGAATAATATACTTTACCTCCTATGAACTAAAGTGATTTTTTTTTGCTACTTCCTTCTTTTTCCATAGTTATCTGTGCCCTCCAGAAATTTCCAAATTATTGGAAAACCCTAAGACATTAAGTGGCAATGACAGAGAACTACTGGAAGATAAAACAAAACAGAACAAAATAATGACCTGCCTTTCTATAATAATTATCTTTATAGCTTGGGGGTTTCTGTTGATAAAAGTTCTTTATGAATTCATGAACATTTTGCTTTGGAGCAACTGAAAGTGGATACACTGTGTTTTATTAATATTGCTTTGTAGAATGATGTTGGTTGATGTTACTTCCAGTGTCTTAATTAAAACCAAAGACATCATTGTTTAGTTTATTATCTACCTTAAATTATCTTCAATATATATTCTGTTATATATTTCTTTATAACTTATCCCTGTTGCTCAGTTTTCTTGATAAGGTCAGAACTTCTTGCACTGAGCTCAGAAATAATATTAATTTATTCATGTCTTTATATGTTGATTGGTAAGAAAAAATTGAGTCTACAAACTTTGTATGAGTGAATCAGGCAGGCTTTAAAATCGCACCATTTTACCAGAACCTAAAACCTTGAATGCAATTGCATTCAGGCTTCAGCTGACAAGTTGAGCCTAAAATCAATTAGGCAAACTCGTAAGTACTCAATAACTAGTGACAAATATTTTTGTTTGTTTTTTCATCTATTTAGCTGCCTATCTCACACAGTGATCCTAGGAGGCTTTAGCTCAATGTGTTAATCAAAATGTGTACTTTCTTTTCCCATTTAAAAAACCATGCCTTTTTTGAGCTAATTTATTATTGGACAATTATTTAAAGGAAATTCTGAATTCCTAATAGTGGGCAAGTGATAATTTGCTAGTAGTAATTTGCTATTTTTACTTCAAAACAGAAAGGTATGTCAGGCATACTCTATGTTATAGGGCAGATGACTTTTTTTTTATTAATGCAGTATGAAACTAATTAGTAAGGTCACTTCAAACTGAGTTTGATTTCTGCTCACTACATAACTATACTTACAGCTAAACTATGCCATGGAGGTCTTCCATACAAATACTGATTATACACAATCCTGCTTAGCTTTCAAGACTAGAAAACATTCATCAGTTGCTTCTACCTACTAAGATATAAATATAATCTTCAGTACCTTATAAAATTTTTGTAAAACTTCATTGTTGTTGTATTTTTAATAGGTAGCAATTCTTGTCAGATCAATAATGGAGGATGTTCCCAACTTTGCTTACCAACTTCAGAATCCACTAGAACATGCTTATGTACTGTAGGTTATAATCTTCAGAAAAATCGTATGACATGTCAAGGTATAATCATTTATTTATTTTCAAGGACTAAGTAAAGCAAATTAAAATACAAATTTAATAATCCCAAAGTCAACTGTATTATTGGTAGCAGAAAAAAGACTATCATGCTCTGGGTCTTTGTGATTGTGTTGAATTGAATTGAATTGAATTTATTAAACTTCTATGCCGCCCAATCCCGAAGGACTCCGGACGGCTTACAGAAATGAAAAAGAAATTAAAAGAACTTAAAAACAATAGGACACACAAAGTTAAAAAAGGAACGCAAGAAACACCCAATCAGAAGGCCTGCCGGAAAAGCCAGGTTTTAATGGCTTTGCGAAAGGCCATGAGAGTGGGGATGGCCCGGATCTCTGGGGGCAGCTCATTCCATATGGCTGGAGCAGCAACAGAGAAGGCCCTACTGAGGGTGTTTTCTGAGGGTGGGTTAGGGTTTGTTTGTTTGGTTGGTTTTTTTAAAAAAAAAATAGATTCAATTCTTCACTAATTTTGTTGCTGAATTTATATAATAAATATATATAAACTTTGGTTGTATAATTCTACAGTTAGTAATTTATACAATCTCTGAATGTTTACAAAATGTAAACATTCTGAGCATCATAAATAGGGATAAGCAGGTGTCTTTAACACATACAAACATGTTTTTTATCTGTGTTGTATTTTATTTAGATATATATTGACAGAGGTAAAAGCAGGATATTTGTGGGTGCTAAAATTATTATTTAAAATAGTTGCAAAATCAATTCATTGATTTCAGTTTATTGATGATAAAATAAATTAAAACTTAATCAATTTTTCAAATTATATTTCTAGGACAAATTCTTAATTAAAATTAACTTGATGACTTGAACATTAATTTTCACACTACTTGCAAAGAATGTTGATGTAATCATGGTTAGAAGCTTAAAATCTCAGTTCATTCACTGAAGTCCAAATTTAATAGACGTATGTGTCAGTAGAATCAAGCTTCTTAAGAGTATCTTTAGACAGATGCAGGTTACAGTTCCAAAAAGATGTAATAAAGTCTCATGTGGATCATGTGATCATCATTTGTAACCTTCCCAGCTGGTTTCTGACAACCAAAGTCAATGGGAGAAGTTGGTTTCTCTTAATGGCCATGTGGCTGGCCTAACAACTGTGACAAAAATGATTGTAAAATGGGGCAAAAACCTAACAACTGCCTTGCTTAGCAGTGAAAATTTTGGGCTCAGTTGTTGTCATAAGTTGAGATTCTGGTTATTCTACATTGATTTTTTTAAAATTTTCTTTCTTGATGATCCCTCCCACCTCATCATAATATAACTGACTAAGAGCCAGAAGTTTGTCTTTTGGCTTCAGATATCTGGTCAATTTTATAACTGCTTATTATCATAATCATGGTTAATATTTTTGAAATAATATTATTTTTCTTTAGGTATAGAGTCATTTCTCTTGTATTCTATTCATGAAGGAATAAGGGGAATCCCTCTTGATCCAAATGATAAAACAGATGCACTAATGCCTATAACAGGGACATCTTTTGCTGTTGGTATAGACTTTCATGCAGGTAAATAAATGTTGTGTCTTATAAAAGCCCTGTAATTTTGGAAGTCTCAAAGTTACACAGGATCACTCCTCTTTGTTCTCAGTTACGTAGATCTATGTTAAGAAAAACAGGTGCAGAAATGTAAAAAGGGGGAGAAATTCATATGACATGTATATTGATTTTCAGTAAGTATTGTACCCAAACATTTACAAATGGAAAGAACAAAGGTGAATTGCAGAAAAAAATGTCATAGAAGCACTTCAAAGTAAAAGATCTGAGCATGCCCAATAAATAAAATAGAATAGAATATAATTCTTTATTGGCTAAGTGTTATTGGACACACAAGGAATTTGCCTAATATTTATTCTATAGGAAATGATACAATCTACTGGACTGACATGGGATTCAATAAAATAAGCAGAGCTAGCAGAGATCAGACATGGAAGGAGGATATAATTACAAATGGTTTGGGAAGAGTGGAAGGCATTGCAGTGGATTGGATAGCGGGTAGGTTTTCTGGTTATTTTATTATTTATAATTATTTTACTTTATCTTTTCTGATTTATAACCAAGCAATTCTTCCAGGTTTCTTTACAACAGTAAATGTATTTATTTTACATCTAAAATTAACAAATAAAATAAGAAAATAAAATTTTATTCAGTAGTATAAAAACATCCTTTAAAAAAAACAGACACTTTTTTTCTCTCTATAGCATGTGGGTTGCTTTTCCTGTGACAACTGTACTTTTTATTTTATTGTATTCTATTTTAAATTCTCCAAGAAATACAAATGAAACAGATAGCCAATCATATGGTGATGGTGGGATGAATATTTTTTTTTACTCAAAATAGGTACATTGAAGCTGCAATGAATTAATCACTTTTATCCTGTGTCCCCACAAATATTAAAAATTGCACTGTCAAAAATGGTGATTGACATTTTAACAAGTTAAATATAGGGGGAGAGGATGCTTCTGACAAAATTGGGTTTTAGTTTGACAAAAATGGGTCATGTGATTTGGCTGACCATGAATTGTTCCACTATATTGTAAATGCATTTTTAACATAAGGAAGATTGCAGGAAGAAAACTTATTTGAATAGAATAGCACAAATATGCCCAATGTTTTTGCTTTTTAGTAATTTAATTTGCAAAAACTTGATATTAATATTTATTTATTTTGTTTGTAGTCATAACTGATATGTTTAATGATAGTTTTATATCTCCATAATTGCATTTTCTTATTACTTCCAGGTAATATATATTGGACAGATCATGGCTTCAATTTTATTGAAGTTTCTAGGCTTAATGGCTCTTTTCGCTATGTTGTCATATCTCAGGGTCTGGATCAGCCAAGGTCTATAGCAGTGCACCCCGGAAAAGGGTAACTCGATAATTGATATGCATGCAAGTGGATACATTTCTTAAAAAGCATCTTAAAACACTGAAAAGCTAATGAGGAATAGTGTGTAAAATGGATCTAGGAAGCTACAATGTAAATTTGATATTAGTCTACACACCACTAAAGTTTAAAATACTGCTGCAACAATAGCATAAGTGGAATCATGTTGATCTAATTTACCATGCTGTTTTATGGGCTGTTGATATATGTAAATATGTAACTCAAGAAAAAATAAATTTAAATAGTATATTTTGTTGCATCTTCAATTACAAGATTATGTTAAAAAGGAAGTACAGTTAATACTGAAATGAATTTTTTCACCTAGATTTATTTCAGCATTTTCAAATGATTAGGCAGACCTGCACTCGATACATTGATAATGAACATTTAAACTTTAATTATGTAATATAATATAACATGGTATAATATAATATGGACAGACAGAATAGGAAATAAGTATGTTTTTTTTTTAAAGAAGATTGCCACTGGGAGTATTAGAGAAACTTTTGATTATGATAATCTACTTATCTCCTTACCTTTTTTAAAGCCATAAATGGAACCAGTGCGCCTCTGGAAAAGAGTAAAACAGCATGAATTTCAACCTCCAATGGAATCAGACCAGCTTCCATTTAAATACCACTTTTAAAATGTTTGAAAAGTAGTTGGGATATGGAAGTGTGTTTGTAAAACCTGTGTTTTGCTCTATACATTTTAGATACAGTTTTAGTTTTAAAAAAACTTTATGGTGACATGTATGCATTACCTCCATTTGAATAGGGGCGGGGGGGAGGTCAATTGCCTTGGTGCTATTATTAGCTTCAGCAGAAATGAGTCTTTTTTTTTTTGTCTCCCAGTTTGGGAAGCTTAAAAAATTATGCCACGGCATTTGAAAATCAGAGAGCCAATTTGATGTAGTGCTTAAAGTATCAGGCTAGAAACTAGGAGATTGGGGGTTCTAGTCCTGCATGGGCCACAAAGCCAGCTGGGTGATATTGGGTTAGTTGCTTTTTCTCAGCCCTAGGAAGAAGACTAGGGCAAACCTCATCTGAAAAACCTTGCTAAGAAAACTACAGGGCCATCTCCCAGAATTGGATATGATTAAATAGTGGTGGGGAGGAGGGAGAGAAAAAAAAGGAACTTGTTCAGTGTTATTTCCAATTTGCCATCAATATTAACTAGATCATTAAAAAAAAAAACAATTGTTAGAATCTTAGAGTGAATGACTGCAAATATTTTTCCCTTATAAAATTCCACTTAGGACTCTTTCTGAGTCCCCCCCAATGTAAATTTAAAAATTGCTGCATTTCTGGCATACAGTGCCAAATGTCTGTTACTATGTTTGTGAGGGTGGAGTTCTTTTTGTTGAAGACACATAGCATACAATTCACATAGAGGTTAAACAGCAGAGGACTTAGAATACAACTCTGTTTCACTAGATGATGACTTGGATCAGGGGTGAGGATCAATGGCTCCCTTATGACGTGTGGACTTCAACTCCCAGAATTCCTGAACCAGTATGACTGGCTCAGGAATTCTCGGAATTGAAGTCTACGAGTCATAAAATGGCCATTGTTCCCCACCTCTGGCTTGAATGATGGCTAACTCTTTCACATCTGACTTGAATTGATACGTTTTCATGCATGTTGAAAGTAGGAAAAGTAGCCACCAATCAATAGATATGAAACATTCTTTCCACCAAATTTATTGCTTGGAATAGAACTGAAAACTGATTTTAACTCAACAAAAGCAAAATATAGGGAGTGTTTTTGCCAATATAACTATTTCTCTATAAAAAAGGATAAGATGACCTACAGATTTATTGTAAATCTGATCTCTATAATCCTGCTTTCTCTTCAACTAGAATTTTTTCCTGGTCCAGCCAATCCAATAACTTATAAAATACATTTTTACAAGATATGCTTAATAGCAAACCACATAGTAATGTAAAAGTTTGTGCTGTTGTCATTCTCAGAGATGGGAAATGTTTGTGGGGGTTTCCTCCCATTATTTGAATGCTTGTATCATTTAGGGAAGCTTACCAGTCAACTCAGGGATGCTTACAACAAAATCAACACAAATAACCCCATCAAAATGCAATAGCAAAAATATATAAAAAGATATAAAATCATATAGATTGAATCCAATCACCAGAAATCTGTAATGAATTGTTGCAGTGACAAGACAAGACTGCCAACTTGCACTGCTCTTCATAATCGCATTAAGTCTCAAGTTTTTTAATTTCATTAGTTTAGGAATCTGTGAGTGAGAAACTAAGAGCTAAGGAGGGATGCTATGTGTCATCTCAAATGAAGACTGGAAAATAGAAAAGGGAAATCTATATTGTATACTATAAAACTCTTCCTATCTAGGTGCTAAGATCTAGCCTCCAAGCACTGTTTGCCATCATGTAATGAGCATGTAACTAGCTTCCTAAATAGGTATTCTCAACTTCCAGATCCTGAAAAAGTCACTCCTGCTTGGATTCCCCCCCCCCTTTTTTCATTATTATTTTTTGCTGGGCAATTAACTAATTTTCTGGCACATTATTAATTGTTCCATCTATAAATTTTTAATATTTTCTTTAGTCCTGCCCTAATAAACATATAATGCTGTTCAAATCATGGTTCCAGAAATACAGGCAAATATTTAACTAGCATGCTGGGAAAATATTAATATTGGCTGGATGGGGTTTGTGAAATCTTATGAAATATATGACCAGGGCATCTGCTGGATTTTCTAAAAGCTAGAAAGACTATCTAAGGTTAATGATAATTCTACCATTAGTGTCCATGTTGCAGTCTATTTAATCCCTGTGGCTGATTCTAGCTCCATTGATGCTCTTATTGTTTTTGGTGATGGCTAGAAGAAAATATAATAAAGGGAAGTTGTCACTGTTTAGTAAGAGCTTGATTTGAAATGTAAGTATCTTATCAAATATATTGCAAGAGGTCAATTAAAAAGCAATTGTACTTAACCCTTAGAACCTATAGTATCTGAGTTTACTCACATCTTTCGCCATGTAGGTAACCCTTGAATACAATTGTAATAAAGCCTGCCCATTATAATCTAAAGTCAGGACAAATATTAAATGAGCTGCCTCACATAATGACGAGCCATTCCTACTTTCCTCAGTTCAATCATTAAACAATTGATGGGGTGGCTGTCAGGGCGCTGACGGTGGAGCGGACGGGGCCAGTTTGTTACTGCTTCCAGGATCGAGACGGACGAGGGAAGCGGCGGTGGCTGGCCCCAACAACAACACGGTGCGGTGGGAAGCGAGTCTGCAAGGCTTGGTTGCTTCCCATCCAGAGGTGGCGGCAAGAGCAGCGCGTTGTTGTTGTTGGGGCTAGCTACCTTCTCGTCCATGGCTGGACCTTCCGTTCTTCCTCCGCACCTCGTTACAGTCGCTGCTGACGTCCGCCGCCACCGCTTCCCTCGTCCGTCTCGATTGCTGGAAGCAGTAACAAACGGCGCGTCTGCTCCGCTGTCAGCGCCCTGACAGCC